ATGACCTGAGCCGGAGTCGGATGCTTAACCGACTGAACCACACCCAGGTGCCCCTTGGCGCTGGTCTTTAAATCGTGTTCCTTAACATCACTGGTATTCTACTGAAATAAAATGATACATATTTTTTAAAAAGTTAATACACTGAGAAAATTATGACTTTTTCCTCATAGATTTTTCTTAAATATGTGCTAAAAGAAATTAAGCAAATTATAGATATTAACAGGAAGAACTTGGCAACAGCCTATCATTCATACTTAGTTTACCATTCTCTCTAGAGAATTTTTTTTCTTCCAAGTTTTTATGTAAATTCCAGTTAACAAGAATATAGTTTTGAGACTTGTACATAATTTTGAGAACCACTGGTTCTTTGAATTGGAAAATAGAGTTTAAATGTTAAAAATAAGCAGAATGCTACAAAGGTGAGCTCAATATTTATTTACATAAAATTGTCTTGATACACCTAAAGGTAATATAACATTGTATCTTCATTATACTTCAATTAAAAAAATTGTTTAAATATAGGATTGTTTCATTAATGTAAATAACATTTTTATTTTGTGACCTTACAGGAGCCCAGGCTTGTGTGCTTGTATTTTCTACCACAGACAGGGAATCTTTTGAAGCAATTTCCAGTTGGAGAGAGAAAGTCGTAGCTGAAGTTGGAGATATACCAACTGTGCTTGTGCAAAACAAGATTGATCTCTTGGATGACTCTTGTATAAAGAAGTAAGGTGTCCACTTTTGAGGGGGAGGTGGTAATTCTATACAGTTAAAACCTGTTCTAATTTATACATACATTTAAAAAATTTAGGAGAGGTTTTATAGAGACCCTTATACTTAAAATTTTCTGTGCGCTATTCTGCGTGATCAGTTTGGGTTTGCACTAAGTCATAAGTAGAACAAATTAAAGGAATAAATTTTGAAGGCCCTTTTAGAATTCTAGTCTTATGTCTTATACCACAAATCCAGCGCTTGATGTTAAGTCAAATCTAGATATAATAAGAATGTTAAGAAAAACATCCCTGTATATTTTAATATCTAAAGCATGGAGCTATCCTGTGTGGATGAGTTTAAATGGGTAAGTAGTTCAGATTCACGTTGTTTTGTATATTCAGAAGTAGGCTCAAATTTGTGAACAGAGCATCTAGATAATTCTATAAGTATTTGTACATCATGTTGTTAACTTTTTGCTAGCTTTGAAAATCTTTGCTTGGTTTTTACCTTATTTTTTTGTATGTTCTTATATTAGTTATCTGTTGCTGTGTAACAAATTAATCCAAAACTTATGGCTTAAAACAACAAAAATTTGTTATTTCACAGTTTCTTTGGGTCAGGAATTTGGGAGTGGCTTAACTAGGTGGTTTTGGTTCAGGTTTTTCATGAGGTTACAGTCAAGATGTTGCTGAGGACTGTAGTCATCTAAAGGCTTGACTGGGGCTTGGAGGACCTACTTCCATGTTGGCTCATCACTTGACCGTTATCAGGAGGCCTTAGCTCTTTGCCATGTGGACCTCCCCAGGGCTGCTTGAGTGTTGTCACAACATAGCAACTGGCTTCCCCCAATCCCATGATTCAAGACAGAGCAAAGCAGAAGCCATCATGTCTCTTATGACCTAGTCTCAGAAGTCACCGCTGTCACTTCTGTGTGTTATTGATCACACAGAAACAGACCAACCTCGATTCCAGTGGGGGAGGAAACTATACAAGGATGTGAAGACCAGGAGGAGGGTGAGGCATGGGGTGGAATCCTTGAGAACCATTTTAGAGTAGAGCTACTACAGTCTTAATAAAACTAAGATCAGGAGTCATAATAAAACTACAGTTAGGAGTCCCCTTTTGTAGACACAGTTGTTAATACAGTAACTTTGGCTTTGTCAGCAAAGTGGTTTCATAGTGAGCAAGAGTGAAGAAGGGAGTGCAGTGTAAGATTATCAGGGTGCAGTTAAATTCAAATGTTTTTAAAGACAAGGGAGAAAATTAAGTATTATATAAAAAAAGTGATATTTAGCTATTTTAAGCCTAGAGTTTGGGACTATAGAAGTGACAGCATAATGGTATTTATTCTACAAGAGTACTGAAAACTAAAAATTCTGCTCAGGTACTGAGAACATAGCTTTGAACTGGTCTGGAAGGTCTCACACCG